CGGATGGAAACGTTTCCAAATAGCGAAGTAAAAAGACTTGCAGTCTTTGGAACATGCAGTTGAATTAGCAGATGGAATATTGAAGCCGAAAAAAACGCGTGGGAGGAAACGACTCAAAATTTCGTTGAACTTTGTTGCTTTTGGTTCTTATTAGAAAATGTGATTATCTGTTAGTCTACATAGAAATGCATCCAGATGAGCGTGATATAAACCAATGGAGAGCAGAATAATCAGTTAAATATTCAATGAAATGTTGCGTTGATCACGTCATTCGTCCAACTTGCGTCTATTTCCTTAGCTATTCATCAACGATAGAGGGCAAACAGCAAAGATGAGTGCATACGAATGAGATGGGAATGATTAAGGCTTGGTTCAAGATGAGCATATTATCAAAAATTACACAAATTGACCTGTTTTAACAAATCCGGAGATCCCAGGATTTTTCAAAACTTTAATCCCGGGATCGGGATCTGAACTAAAATCCCAGGATCCCGCGCAAGCCCTACTCAGATCATGGAAAACAAGTTCAATTCTCATGACCTTTATGCCAAATACACCAAGGCCTACGCAGCACAAAAAAAAACATGATTGTAGGACTACTAAGGTGTGTCGTTTCACAATGAAAAGGAAGGAGTGCAAAACATATTACTTGCAATGTAAGAACATTCACAATATTGTGGTGCATCCATTGAGCATCTATTATCTCTGTTCATAATTTCTTCAGTGTAGAGGGTGGGATGATGATGACGACATTAATTGGGACAGTGCTTTTTCGACTGAGCCATTCAAATTCAAGTGTGGGCGATTCGCCATGAATGGTATCTTCAAACTAACACGATTTCTGCGCTCCACTGTGGTTAAGTTGTTCTCATTTTTTAAATTGTATCCATGCGAAGATTGATTTAGCTTTGCTCTTGTGTGTTGTGGAGAGTTCTTGTGGGGTATTTTTAAACTGCTCGATTATGTTGACCTTTTGGTTTAGAAAGGGAGGTTAAATGGGTGTGTTTTTACTGGAGGAGGAGTGGTGTCATCGGAAGAGGAGACGCTGTCTTCGGAGGAGGAGACGGTGTCTTCGGAGGAGGCGATGCTGTCTTCGGAAAAGGAGACAGTGTCATCGGAGGAGGCGACGCTGTCTTCGGAGAAGGAGACGGTGTCTTTGGAGGACGAGACGGTGTCTTGGGAGGATTAGGTGGTGTCATGGGGAGAGAAGACGGTTTCGTCGGAGGAGGAGATGCTGTTTTCGGTGGAGGAGATGGTGTCTTCGGAGGAGGTGTCGCTGTCTTCGGAGGAGGCGACGCTGTCTTCGGAGGAGGAGACGGTATCTTCGGAGGAAGAGATGGTTTCTTCGGAGGAGGAGATGGTGTCTCCGGTGGAGGAGACGGTGTATTTTAACTATGCAACGCTGTCATCGAAGCAGGAGATGGTGTCTTCGGAAGAGGAGACGCTGTCATTGGGGGAGGAGACGGTGCCTTCGGAGGAGGCGACGCTGTCTTCGGTGGAGGAGACGGTGTCTTCGAAGGAGATGACGCTATCATCGGAGGAGGAGATGGTGTCTTCGGAGAAGGAGACGCTGTCTTCGGTGGAGGAGACGATGTACTCGGTGGAGGCGACGCTGTCATCGGAGGAGGAGATGGTGTCTCCGGAAGAGCAGACGTTGTCATCGGAGGAGGACACGTTGTCTTCGGAGGAGGCGACGCTGTCTTCGGAGGAGGTGACGGTGTCTTCGGAGGAGGCGACGATGTCTTCGGAGGAGGAGACGGTGTCCTCGGAGGAGGCGACGCTGTCTTCGGAAGTGTAGATGCTGTCTTCGGAGAAGGAGACAATGTCTGTGGAGGAGGAGACGGTGTCTTGGGAGGATTAGATGGTGTCTTGG